TCAAGATGGAAATCTTTGCGTACATTTGATCGAAATCGCTGCATTTTAGCGTATACGCGATCGTTCCGATAGTGCTGCTGACCGCGCCGCATTCATGGACGTAATGCGGACCTTTCACGCGATAAGCATTAGGTCGAACCAAAAGTTCTGTCGCACCATTTGCAAAAATCGTTACTTGATATCATTTAAAAAAATACGTGCACTTTCTAGGGACACCTTGGCACTTTGTACTAATCTTCGATTACAGAGATATAAATGGAAAAAGGAGATCTTCTAAGGTTTAGTGATTTGAGGCAAGCACGTTAAAAAATATGAATTTGTGTAAAATGTCTGAAACAATCATTGTCATGAGCCTTTTGACTTTCTCTTTTTAACTGAACAAAGTTTGTGCTGATGGATTCTCCAAAAATTACCGAGAAAATGTCAAAAAAATCACATTTTCCGATTTCTGCATTTCTCAAAATCCATAACTTTTCACAGAAAGCGGCAAAGACCGGCATGAAACTTGCTTAGCTAGAAAGAAGAGATTGAAAACTTTTAAAGCTTTCTTTAGGAGCTACTGATGAGGGGCACCAAGGAAGCTGCACTACCGGTATGATTCTTAGCCCTAAAACAGGATAGCGTAAAAACAAATCAAAAATTTTCGTGAAATTTTGTATTTTGGCAGTTATATTCTAACTTTTCATTTGTTAGAAACTTGCAGTTTGAATTTTACTGCACAGTTTCAGATTTTTCAGGAGCACAAATCACCGAACCTTAGAAAATCTTCTTTTGCTATTTTTATCTCCACAGTTGAAGTTCTTCTACTAGTATTGATGCAGGCAAAAACATTGTGACAGGAAGAACTCACGATTCTTTGGAAAAGGGCAACAGAACTTTCGAAATGTACTGGAAAAGTAAACATGGAATTAAGTTCTTTATATTATGGAGGAATGTTCAGAACAAAATTCTAATAAGTGACCGTAATAGAATAAGTCATTTTTATTCCTTTCTATTGATTTTTCATGTCCCCAACTAGAACACATACGTCTTGATGATTATATGCGAGTAAGCAATACATCATTCACTCACATCACACCATGCTTGATTTCCATGATGTTTTTCTCACGTCATACAGCCACTAAGCCAAAATCCTCTGCAGCATCCACCTACAGGGACACTTAAGAATGAGAGCAACAGGATCAGCAAGGATTTCTAATCCTCTTTCTTGCGAGGTGCAAAGGGAATATGCAAATTTCTGTAAAATAAAGGATAAAAAGTCTGGAAATGGGAAGAAGTTTCAAGAATGAAACAAGGAAAAGGCTAATGCCCCTCCCCTCTTATGCCTACTTTCTTAAGCTTAGTGTGCTTTGTTCAAAAATGTGCAACAAGTCAATCGTAATTTGATATGTGTATTGCACACTATGCGAGGCATACCACGATTTTTTCATGAGTTGTCACTTGACTTCCCTTCCTTTGTAGCAAAGTAGATGTAGGTAAACTTTACTCAGGAGTTGCTATCAATAATTAAATAATGGTAATGTGCGCGCAGCGTGCAAATTCACGCATCGTCTCTAATGACGCGACTATACTTCGGTATTTGATCAGGTCATGTGTGTAATTGCACACCAACACAAAGAGGAGTCAATCTCAGGTCTTTACGAAACAATAGTTTGCGTGAACCAATTTATAGGGTAACTATTAACTATTATATAAGGTTTCCTGAATCTTTTTGCATTATTCAGCAGCTTGCTAAAGAAATAAGAGCTTTTCTAAAAATGCTGTCCGCTATCCAAGAAAATTTCAGATTTTCCGCGCAATTTGCTGTGCAATTGCATACATGACGTCAAAACCCATCGACTATACGAGCTTCTGTTAAAATTATATGCTTCCTTCTTGCTTAGACTAGCAATCCTTGCTAGAAAACTTGAGACGCTCGAGTTTCTCGTCGCATCATCGCATATGTATAGACCATTAATTGCTAATTAGCTCCGTCTAACCATTCAGAAACGGAATAATAGTAGATCGCAGACGGAGACAACATAAGATATTTTTTTTTAAAGACGGTTACTCCCGCTCTATGCAAGCGAAATGAGCTTTGATGCATAATGGTATTTGAGTAGGTCATAGAGAACTACGCTATTACCCAAAGTAGCGTCCGCGCAGAATCGGCTTATCTCAGATACTTTACGGGCGAACAGATCCTCCGCACAACTGGAGAAAAATACCAGTCTTAAAAAATGATATACCTCTAAAGCCCCAAATATGGTCTTATGGCGGCTCGCCTAAAACTTTTACGCTCTTCTCACAGCTGTGTGGACAGTTTTCAAGTTGCGTTTACAGGGGCACATGTCTACGTATCGAAGGCACCGTCTTGATGCAGTACAATAGCGATTCCCCTGACTAAGTAGTTGCACATGTTCCTGCAAAAAAACTTACACCAAACCAGGATGCGCCCCCATAATGTGTATCTGGGTCGCCACGCCTACTTCCGATCAAAGTGGGTGGTCCAAAGGAGCCCTTGCTAGACTCACCAGTAGATAAAGTCTCGAGAATCCGCCTTTTGATTCAAAAAAACATATTTCAGGCTTTGGAATCCAGTTTCGGGCTCACCTTTGAATCATCAAGTGGGCGTGGTGACCCCAACTGCATCCTTCTTCTGGAGCGATTTTCTCGCTTTAAAATGCATCTTTTGGAGCGAGACTAGCGCAGCTACTTAGCCAAGAGCCTCTCTATTATACTGCATCAAAATTTTACCAATATCGGGTTCCGGTGGATGGTGCCTTTACGGCACGTATAACTACGCTAGTCCGACAAAATGGAATCCCGTAAACGCGAGCGTCCGGAATTTACATGCAATTTTTTCAGAACTGGAATCCGGGCCCTGAAGAGACCCGATAATGGCAAAAACATGGAGATGCTCTCCATCCCCTTCCTAGAAATGAAAGATCGCAGAGATGAGTTGGCTAGTTAGTTTGTTATTCGATATGTCGACTGCACTGCAAGGTTTCCTGGTTGCGTCCGTCATCTGGGAACTCAACGGCTTCCACTAGACAAATTAGATTTTTAGGATTATCACCACGGTGACAGCGATCGTTCAAGGATAAACCGTCTTCGATAGCAACATAAATCCACAAGGACAAATCAACATTAGTGGAGATTAGATAAACTCATGTCGTCAGCAGAATATGTTGTAAGAAGAATTCTGGCTTTCAATAGAAATTTGAGAGATCAAAAAAAAACTCCTGCAAAATAACGAATAGATAAAAGTCTGTGCGCAAGATGCAGAGTGATTTATATGCCCATATAATAAATAATTCAAAACGACAAGCTCATACATCATGGCTGAAGATTTCAGACAGGTGCAACTGGTTCAATAACCCAAATATAGCCCCTAGCTAGGAGATTTAAAAGCAATTTATATTCCGTATTTTAATTATTCCAAAAGCCTCCCATTAACTGCTCCTATCGCTATGCTCCAATTCCTCTGCTCAGAAAAAGAGGAACGGAGTCACTTGTCGATCTTCATTAGCAAGCTATATGTCCTGATGTGTAGATATAATAACCAAAGTGAATTCCTCATCAAATGAGATTTATTGCTGTACCTCAAATCTAATGTATACTAAGAAAATAGAGTGAAGAATTTAGAAGAAAATGGAATAATATTAGGAGTAAAAATTAGTGTTTTGAGCTGGAGAGCCAGAAAAAATTGGAAACTATGATTATCCAGCTCTTATAGCTTGTGCGATCGACGCAGGTAACGCACGAATTACGGTCATCGTGGCGTCGTGCCTTTAACTGTCTGCGTATCTTACACCCACATTAACTCTCCGCGTTACAAAACCATGACGCCACATGAACGCATATTTTGTATTGCTTTGCTTCTCTGACGTGAAGCATTATTTATCGAAGAGTAATATATAGCGAAATTTATTCAAACAAAAGCTCCCCCACATCTCTTCCAAAAAAGTGCTATTGGATGCTGGTAAATTTATCTCTTTCTCTTTGCCAACGCTATAATAAGCCATTACATTCGATATTGCTGTCATGAAATATGATAGTTCTCTATACGATCACAAACGAAAATAAAAGTCATAAAAATCACATTTTGCGAGGTGATGGCCACTTCAGATAGCGTGACAGCGAGTCACTTGTTATGTGAGCTTAAACCTCGCAAGAAAATGTATTTTTCAATACATCCGACATGTGAAGGATGTGAAGGAAATAGGGGGAAATGAAAATCTAGCGAGAAAAATTGGAATTTTTCACAAAAGGAAGATATATAAAATAACGTGGATATTCAAAAAAGTGCAGTTCTTTCAACGAGATGAAAGGGTGAAATATAGGTATATTGTTGAAATCAGATAAACTAGATTATATGAAGAGTTATTCAACGATATTTCGCTTGAAAATGGTAAAAAGCGGAATGTTCAAATGTTATGAGATTGATTTTTCACAACGTGGCATTACAATGTATTTCAACTTGATTGAATAAAAACTTCAAGTTTTTTTTCTTGAATACAACTGTATGAAAAGTACATATGTACGAACGATTTTTTTGTGAAAGTGACATCTAAAGACCAAGAAGGAGTAAGAAGTAGCAATGAGAAGAGCAAAAAGGAGGATATTTAAGAGAAGAAACAAGCAAAGAGGTTGTAATTGTGATTACGATTATAGTCGAGTAGGTTACTTTACTAAGGGGTGCAATTACACATTTTCGAAAATGATGCCGAGCAGGTGCTCCAGGTGAGAAGTGCATCAAAAATTATTGATGCCTTTCAAAACACGATTGTGACCGGCCAGAAAAGAAGAGGAAGTAAATATGAGAAGAACAATAGCTGGGTCACGCTACCAACCACCGATCCTGGCAGCTGTGCAATTACACACATGAGAAAACCTACTCGAGTATACAGGGCTGGCAGACCTATTGCAATATAAATGAAGTTTGTGCGAGATCGAATTACCGAGAGAGAGGGGGAAAAATGAGCCGAAGGCGAAAAAAAACATTCAAAAGAACTTACTCGATTCGCATTACCGTCAGCGGTAGCACGTCGAATTGGACAACAAGTGGTCAGTAGACGATAAACCGGTGAACATACAACCGTCCCAGTCGCCCACATTTCAACTCAGTCAATCTCCACACAAAGACAGTCTCACTTATCAGCTGCTGGCGCTCGTTCGGCACATTCTAGCAGCAATTTCGAAGCATCTTTGACAGGGTCACGAGCCTTATCTGGAAGTGCGGAGCTAAACTAGCAGGAAGAAATGCTGAAAAGGCTTAAGGGGACCGGAAAATCCGAAACTATGTTGTCTACACACGCGAAACACCACACGACTACAGACAACATGTGAATCGCCGCCCCTTCCCCATATGGCAATGCCAGCCTCTGCCACCCCACCCCCTCGGATGCGCTTCAAGGACGCAGAGTATCTGCTGGAGCGCGGTCCCAGAAAGAATGAGCGCTGTAGAGCTACAGTAGGCGAACATCTGTGTGATTCTCGCAAATTTCCTTTCGTCAAGGTGTTCTTGAGCTTTTGCTTTTGTTTTGCTTTGTAGAGTTTGGTTTTACTGTCCAAATATTCAAATTCTTATGTATTAGATTAGTTGAGAGCTGGGGGAGTTGGCGTTCCCTTAAAAGGGTGTGTTTTTCGGGACTTAAATTTTGGATTTCAGTCATTGGGCGCCTTCTTGAGTAAAGCCGCTACTCATATAATAGTAGCTTGTTCGACATTGTCGCTCTGAAGGACGTTAGAATGCGAACTAGATAACGCTATACTATACTGTTCATATCGCTATTTTTTCAATTCAATCCGATATTCACACTGATTGGTTGTGAGAATATTTTCGTAGAAGCAGTGTGTTTTTGCATGCAGCTCACAAAATAAGGATTTTGAAAGCTTATGCTTTCTACTTTCCAAACCTAATCCAACTTCTCAAATATCTCACATTTTCGTCGAGCTGCGCACATAGGGCTCACCAGATATGTTCACAAAACGAACTCATTCTGCGCCTTTTTCGCTTTTACGTTAAAACTTCACAATTAGGGGTAAGAATCTGAAAGTTTGCTAGAGTCATGAGGAATGGAAACGGTACTTGCAATGGATAGGCGATTATTTCTATTCCTTTCATTTGAATTTCCAGTAAAATAAAAGTTGACTTACGCGATAACTGCTGTGAACTTGTGGAGAGGAATGTACCATACGAGATGGGTATCATCCTAATGATCAACATGAATCAGTCGCAGAATTGGCGAAATCTAATTTTCGATTTTGGGTTCAATTTGGAACAGCAACTGTGCCTTTGCAGTCGACGGCTACGATTTTGCTCATTCCAGAGATCCGCTTCTGACGAATTTGCAGTCACCTTGTGTCTGAATAGCTGAGCAAGAAACAAATATTTTGCAAAATTATTTGTTGATTTTTGGCCATACTCAGTACATCTCAGTTCGTTGACATGTATAGGTTTTCAGTCCACGAGTTGACCCGAAAAAATGGAAGTTTTGCTAGGGTTCATATAAGGGGGTTACTCGGTGCTTATCTTGCACATTGTCTCTGTCTGGTGGAGTTAAGGGTAGTCATGGGGTCAATCAAGGATTTGCTAGAGCTTCGTCTAGAGGGGTTGTTTGGCACGTTGAATGAATAGGCATTGTTTGGCAAGAAGCTTATTTTATCCGTTATCGGTGTGTGTAAGGTAGATGGGCCCAGTAATTTTCAAATTTTTTTTCAAAACTTTGCTTGCGGTTGCGGTGCTTGTGGTTCTCTAGCGTGCTTATTCTTACCAGTAACGCCTTGTCGTGAGCCCACGGTAAGTTGTTCTAAATAAAAGCATTCTGCAGTATCCGAACTAATTCAGTTACCGGAAGTCCACGAAAAGCTCTCATTATGGCAGATAGCGCGAAATTTGGTATCAGTATACTAGAAGCCCTCCTCGCATACTCTGAGACAGATCTACGACTTGTCTCTTTGCAGTATACGTGCTGTAACTTTGCAAGAACCTCCCAGAATGCGATACACGTAATCAACATGATAGAAGCATATTTTAGCACTCATATACCTGTCGCAGCCCGTGAAAATGGCGTACCATTCGGAATACCTGTCAACTATGTCGTGCTAGATGATCTTATAGACGAAATCAAAGCGAGCATGCTTTTCATTTTTGGGTCAACCAAGTGGAATAACGTTAAATTTTTTACCCGCTAAACAGCTGGTAGCAACCTTGTTTCCTACTTTCTGTTTGTGATGCACCTCATCTGTTTTTGTATCTTCGTTGCCTTCAGTCCGAATAAATTCTGATATCATTATACCGTGTTACAGCTTCTCTCACAATGGGCTTTGCTAATTTGTGGTTCTCTCATCCGCGCAATTTCGGGCCAGGATCCCGCTCTTGGTGAGTTTCATCCTGAGTTTGCTTTTGGTTCTTTTTTTTTTTGCTCTTTTCTTTTTTTGATTTTCCTCTGCAAATTATGGGTGTGGTTGCTAGTGATTCCAGGATCCTAATATCCACCTCTAGGATTGTTGTATGAATTCCTTAGTGGGATGGAATGTCTAGGCATTATATAGCGTTCTGCGGCTATCGTCTCAAAATCGCAATTTTAATTTTGTGTAGACTTTGTTGGTGACCCCTGTTCGACATGTTGCTCACGAAAAGGTATTTATCGCGTATAATAAGTCGACTGTGGGGTTACGATTCGAGGGCAAGTGGTTCATAAACCCCTCTATGAAGAGGAAAGATCCTTATCTACTCTGAAGCCAAATAGTCACTTCATCATGTTTGGATGTCATTGATGATTTTGATTTTCTTCCGCGTACCTGCCGTGATCACCACATTTTGACTTCGTCGTGCTGGATTCATGTCTTTTTGTGTGCAGCATTGAGTAACCTACATAGCGCTAGTGAGCGAAATCATCTGAGATAAGGTCTATAGCCAAAGTGCCTGGATCTCATAACCGATTGTTACTGTAGTTTTTTGTGTGTGCATAAGGTGTTGGCTAGTGTAGCTGATCTCGTCATCTTATTTTCTATAGTAAAACTCGATAAGTAGCGGTAAAAGGAGCAGCAGTTTTATTGATTTCTTATGATTTGTGCATGATGTCTTTCTCGGTTATAAGTGCTGTTTTGCTTTTGGTTTTTACCGAGCGTTTTTTGATAAGGGAGGTCAGTGACTACCTTACCTCATAAACTGTTTACTTTATCCTTTAAACTCCTTGGTGTATGCTCAGATTCTAACACCATCCTTAGTACAAATATTTGCATATAAGACGAGAAGTCCAGTTTGCGTCGTTGTGTAGTTCGTACATGGTTCATGGAGAACTTGTATGCTACAACCGTCTATATGTAACCATTAGCTTAATTCTGGGCGCCATTGTGTATCTTATGTGAAAATCAAAAGTTAGCGTTATTACCTAGGTCAGATTCACAGATGCACTTTGCTTTGAAGCGAAGTAGTGTTTCCCTTTTTTCACACATCTGAGCCTTGATTACTCATAGCTTGATTTGACCCAGCTGTTCTGCAGTTAAAAAACTGAGTTGGTATACTGAAAGACTTCCTATTTTTGTGTTTGTTTAGTGAGATATATGAAGTAGAGATTTTACAGCCGCGTGTGCTCCAACCATCACGGTCTTATTCGCAAATATGGTTTGGATATGTGCCGACGATGCTTCCGAGAATACGCCAAGGATATCGGTTTCAAGAAGGTTCGTTTGCTTTCTATAAAGCAGACTCCCATTACCGACAAGTTCCATGCTTGATCGGTCTAGTTAGCTCTGCCAAAGCAACTGCTTCGATCGAAAGTCTATTTTTTGCATCATAGGATAGACAGGAGATTGCAATCTACAGTCATGCACCTTTGTCATTTGCAAAACTGATTGTTTTTCTTTTTTCAGCTCGACTAGTCTCGTCGGCATCACCACATCGACGTCTAATTTGTTGGTTTTGATGTTTAGTAACTTTGAATAAATTGTTGTGGAAGTGCTTCTAGCAGATCACATGTTTTGTCGTTATATACATACATACTGAGGGAATAAAGTTATCTTGCTACTCGTCTCTAGTTTTGGGTCATGGATCCGGTTGAAGCCGGCGAATGGCTAATCGGAAGGCCACAACAGCTCATATTCCTCACAGGACTTGATCCTAATAATAAGGAACATCATTCTGCGCTTGTCAGTACCTTCGGGTAGGTTTTCTCAAATATCGTACGGTCTTTCTTTTTTTCTACGTTTGGCCTTTAGGCGTACGGTATCGTCTCACTGTAGATGTGCGGTACCGTGTTGATTTAGAACTTGAAATTTAATTTAAAATTGTTTCCATAAGCTTACTTTTACGGCACATTATTAGCAGATAATTCGCAGAAGAGAAGGTTTGTTGTTGTTGTTGTTGACATATGTTTACAGGGTATCAAAAGATGATAAAAATGTGTAAACTCTGTGATGCTTATGCGTCAAGCATGTGATTTGTCACAGTTTTGTGGTTTCACAATGTTGCATTGGCGGGCATAGAGAAGTATAAAAAGCACATACGTACACAGAGTGTGCGAAAGGAAATGATCTCATTTTTAGAGAGCAACGTTTTCTTCATATGCATGCGTTACTATTGTGCAGAGGTGTGAGTTTTGGCGGTTTTCGGTGTTTCTGTCGGAGCAGCTTGAGCCAACAGCCCTTTATTTATCCCAAGAACGTGCAGTGTGCCTTTAAATGGATAAAATTGAACTGAGGGAGGGTTTCTAAGCTGATTTTCAGCACAGTGTGTAGCTGTTGGTTGGCTCTGCCCAAATTTGGAATACCTGATCGCTGTGCAGAATGTTTATGAGAAGTTTTGAAGCGCGTATTACGTTAGGGACGTGCTCAAATGTCAGAAAAGTTGTTGTAGTAATTAGTAAAGAAATTCTTTTCACTTCACAGTTGGGATTCTGAGGACGATTCTGAGGTTTTACTTTCGAGATATATCCCGTCTCATTTCTGAAAGTGATGTTTGTGCTGAATTGAAGGAACAGCGAAGGTCGATTTTCGCTTGATAAAAATCGCACTCATCTGATATAAGACTTTAGAATGATCTTGGTCTGATCTTTGGTAATCCGTCAAAGTCCTGTTCGCCAAGAGCGCAAAGGCAGAAATCACCTTGTGCTGGCGAGAACACAGAGGAGCTTAATTACGCATTTTAGCGTTCGTACACCAGATCGACCACCTCTAAACCTTCGCCTAGTGACTGGTGAATTCGACTTGCCACAAAAAGCGGAAAAGAAAATCGGCAAAGGTGTCAATTTGCCAGTTTCACAAGCTGAACTTAAAACGGACCTTTTGAGGTATCCTCCGGCGCGACTGGTTTTTGAAATATATAGATCGAGTGCCGGCTTTGATTGTCTTGTTCCTGGATCTTGATTGGGACCATGCTTCATGGATCGAGAAGAAGACCGAAGCCGAGAGTAAATGCGCAAGTCTTCGAGCAAGTGTTGGCCAGTCGAGTAGGGTGGCTGTTGTGCTTTTGCAGCAAAGGTGCGTTACCAAATTCGACCATCCATCAGGGTAAGGAATGCAGGATTTTAGGTCAGTACCAACATCAAGTGATGATCCGTTAGCAACTGAGCGTGCCCATGAGTTATGCCAGATCTGTCATCTTACGCCAAGACAGCTGTTTGTGGTTCCTATTCTTGGCGATTTAAGCGTATGTCAAAGTTCTTTCTTTCTATTTTTGGCGATTTGATCGTATGGTCCACTTTTTTTATCTTTTGTTTTACATTCAATGACAAGTTTTCGTACAATTTGAAGTTCACGATTGTACGCAAATTACGACTATATAGAATGGTTAGACCCGCTCTGCATAATTTGTGCAAAAAATTACATTTTTGCTGTGGAACTACATAGTACTCTGACTTCACGCTTGAGTCATGCTATAGATAGCATTCTTGTAGGGCTATGTGTCCAAGCTTGAGTCTGCATTCCATGAATTAGCGCAAGGATTTTATCAACAGAAGCTCAAGGTAAATCATGCTTTTTTGCTCATCTCTCCTCTTCTTCCTTACTTATCATCTTTGTCATAGGCTATCCGAGCACGGTCGATACCGAATAACTCACCGGCATTGGTTGTTCGTCAGTTGTTCAAGCTTGCCTTCCTTTCAGAACTTCGACAAGACACCCATACTGCTTACAGGTTAGTTGTAAAGAACTCTTGTATCCTTTCCTTTCTTCTTTGTGCTTCATATTCTTTATTATTTTCCCATAGCTTCCGATCATACATGTATAGCTATTCTTTGTTCATTTTACCGTTATTGACAGAAATTATCGTCTTGCATATGAACAGTGCAAAGATCATGTCGAAAGCTGGGATTCGTACGATATTTTCGAATGGCGAAGTGTTGTTGGACTGCTTAATTATAAGGTAATTGATCCATCCATGTTTGCCATTTACCCAAGTGGTCAGAGGTATACATCTAAACTCTTTTAGATCTGCGAGTTATGTTTTCTGCATAATATGGCTGTCGAAGCGATTAATCAGATGCGCAGGCATCAAGCCGTCTTCTTTTCCGGTCCTGCCGGCATTTATCCTACCCCGCAACTCGCTCATATCGAGTTGCAACTGTGGAATGCTAAAGAGGCACTCGAAGGGGACGTTTACGAGTATCCATCAAAATCTCTAACTTCCAGTGCTGGCATTTCGCTCAGCTTTTCGAACAAGCTGTAGTGAACGGTTTGACAGCGCTAGCTACTTTGAATCCTGGAACACATTTGGATTTAGCCGCTTCGTTGTACTCAGCCGTTAACAAGAGTATTCTAGCGTTGAAGAAAAGTAAGGGTTTTTTTCTTGTATTCTAAAGCAGAGCTGGTCAAGAATCTGCTTGATTTCTAGCGAATCCTCTAACGCAGCCGTATCCAAACCCTGATCCCATGGCGGCAATACATAATACCGTAAGTGCAGTTATCTCTGACATTACATTTCCGCGCTGATTTGGGCCAGTAGATCTTCTTCGGTCAACGTCCATGGAGAATTGGATATGATGGTCTTGCTCCGGCTAATGTGGAAACAGACGCGGTAATTGCTATCATGGTAAGTTGCTTTACATACCGCCTCAAATATCTTTCTTACCCCCTTTCTTTGCCGATCTTTAATCAGTTTTCCTTTTTCAAAGAATAAGATCTGTTCTGCTCTTTATCCAAAATCTTCATCTCTATAATTTATTGCGTTAATGATTGACATTACTGTTCACTCATGGTTTTATTAACACCTTTTGTTGCAAAAATACGTACGTTACAGTTCCACTTTTTTTTCGCTGATTCATAAAGAATGCTGTCTGTCCATCATTTCGTTCCCTTCAGAACATATTCAACTTTACAAAAGAAATAATGCTCGTATCTCAATGATAGTCATTGAAAGATGAGACTAGTTTACAATCGAACATGACTCGACCGCAGATCGATTCAGCATTTGCATCTCCTTCGTTTTGCTCATATTGTTCCGCTGCATAAAAGTGTGCTATATGTTTACGAAGTCCGAATATAGGCTATTGATTGCTTTTTGGAAGAGAATGCTGTATTGCACTTCTCTCCTGTACAAAATCTCAACACTGCGACATTGCTGCCTAAACCTGCACATATATTATTGTCTCCGGTTGTCTATCTCAGTCTTCTTCATCCATCTCACTGTATGTGACGATATCAGTACAGTCAGCTGTGCTATATGCGACTATTCGTGGTGGCCTCGTCAGTGTGACGCCGCACATTTAGACTGTTCAAGCATAATACATGGTAGCTCGAAATGTACGCACTGTTTGACAGTCAGTATCGTTTTCCGCTGATTAGTCTGTATCTGGGTGCCACTGAGTGGAGCTGGAATTGACTTACAAGGGAAGTATGTTTAGTCGAAGTGGCCTTTTTAGATGGAATGTACACCGTATTGAAGGGCATAATCTGCTGATTCCAAATCTGCCTTCATTAGCTGCAAAACGTTTATGGACGAGGAGTTTTGAGAGCTTATTGGAGCAAAAAATTGATTGTGCAAGTAAGACAAAAAAGCCGTAATACTTTTTCTAGCTCTTAGGTGGAGCATTAATAATCATCAGAGCACTTTGTTCAAAAGGTACTCTAAAATAAAAAATAAGTATTAATAAAATATATCACAATTGGTTGCATTAATTGAGGGCTAATAAGATTTCAGCAACTCATTTCAAGAGGCACATTCAATTTTTCGCTCCAAAAAACGCTCATAACTCTTTATCCGTAATTCTGCAGATAAGGAAGGCAGGTTTGGAATCAGCGTTTTATGCCTTTCAATATGTACACATCCCATTTAAAAAGGCCACTTTGACTAAACACGCATCCCTTGTTAGTATGATAGCATGGAGCGAATCATCAATCGCTTCTCAATGTGGTGGAATTACTGTATTAACTTCTAGCTACTAACCTCTTTATGTAAGGCCGTGAGATTTTCTGCCGGCTACAAAACTATCGAAAAACTCTAGAAAGAATGAAAAATCTAGATTGCAGCTGTTACTAATATCCTGGCTTTACTTTTGGACAAGGCATTACGGAGTCTGCGACCCGGACTACCTGTTTTCTTCCGAGAGGACATAGCCCTCGAAAGCACAAATTGCTTTTCAAGTTAAGAACAATCGGTGATTTGCTCCATAATATAAAAATGAGTTGATGCCAGCTTCACAGAATGGTGCATAAGAATTAGCGAAAGAAATTGAAACAGAAGAGATTTTCATGGTCAGACAGTGCACACATATAGTTGAAACACCCTGTAGATGTTTTAAAACATAGTCCCGATACACTGAGCGTAGTCCCGAAAATAGAAAGAAATCCCATTTTTGGTTTTTCTGAGGGGTGAAATATTGTTTTTAATTCATCCCTGGTTTTCATTGCTGTAGATACTTTCCTTTACTTTACATTTTTTCTTTACATTTTTTACATTTCCATTTTCAATATAAGTCCAATCTCTCTGTATACAAGTCAAGTTCTCTAATAGTTTCTCGAACAAGGTTTTTCGCTGCATAGGATGAACGCAGCGACCATACGAGTATGAAAGTTAAGAAAGTTAATTCAAATTTCTTGAAAGACTTGCTCCGGTGTGTATTTTGCCCGATGTTCAAAGCATGAGAATGGGCTCACCTGCGAAATGAGCGTGTGAGGCAGGTTTGCGCAGTATATGAGCTAGTAAATTTAGCAACTCTGCGAAAACCTTTCTGTGGACAGAAAATGGCGTTTTTGATTTAGTGACTGACGCACTTTGTCATCTCTGCATGCCTTGAAAAGCTTGGAAATTTTTTTTATTTTTACGACTGTGGTCATTTCCTAATTAAAGTACCTTGCCTTCAGCATCGACTTGTTGTGAATTATGAAGGAGTTATCTCTTTGCTGAATGCGGCTATGGCACAATTCAAAAAATATGGATGTTTTCGAATGTATCGCAAGGGTATAATTGAGGTATTGTACTTTTTATGCTACTTAATGAACTTTGGCAGTTTGTGCTATGAAATGAATTTTTACAAGTTTTGTATGCTTATTGGCTGAATTGCAAGAGAGCAACAGTTAATGCTTAGAAAAAATAACTTTTTCAATTTTGTAGAAAGCTGAAGTTTACTACCAAAGCGGTGATCTGACAAGAGCCCTACAACTATGGGTGGCTGTGGTTAGGGAAGGTATACCACCGTCCGTTCGAAAGGATATACTGGAGAAAGCGATCAGCGCTGCTTACTGCACAGCTTCCGTGAAGGTACAGTATTTTGTGAAGGTGAATTTAATTTGACTCTATCAAATTCAAGGATTACCTTTGGTGCTGCGTACAGTTGATGACAATACAACCATTAGCCGAAGATGGTTTTCGTGCTGTGCTCCATTCTACCGTACCGCCACCACCATTTTCTCAGAATGATGTGTCTCCTGCGCAGGTAAATCTTCTCAACTCCGAAAATTTCTAGCTCAGTATGGTTAGTGAAGGTATTGTGCACATTTTTGAGTTTTGTATATCAGGTCATTCCGAAACTTCTTTTCGATTTTTCGATCTATTATAAAAATACATGAGATGAAGATGGATGAATAATTTAGAAACATTCGACGCAGTTCTTCCTCCTTTTCTGCAGTAAATATTAGGTCGGTGCAAAAGTTTTGTCAGTTTTTTTCAATCAATCGGCAAACACGTTAGAATGAAGATAAGCTAACACTTCAAAATGTATCCGATGCAGAATTTCTTCCTCTTTCCAGCTGCCAAACTACCATTGTGTTTCGTTGCGAGAATGACGAGATAATTGCTGGAAATTACAACCACTCGTTTTTACCATCTCCAACTTTCGCTAATTTTTAGAATTGTTGTATGAGACTTTGTGAGAAGCCGCAATAACCAGAAGATAGGGCAAAACTTTTGCCAACAAGAGCAATTTTTTTCTTTTTTCCAGCTGCTTTTTCAAACTTTTGTCAAATAATTTTCTAAAAGTCTTGTGTTATGGAAAAAACGCATAACCTGTTATTGCACCAAACACTGCAAAACCTATAGAATACTGAGGTTGATTATTACTACCGCTACCATTGCACAGTAAATGAGCGATTTTCGCTTCAAATCATGAGGATTTTGAAACATAGGTTACGTTAGTGCGCATTCCTGAAATTGAGAAATACTGCGATTTTCTCCCACAAATTTCGCCTTTCCCGGCAAAAAAGACAAGCATTAGAAGGAGGAGAAAAAGTTACACCGAATGGTAACTGAAGTGTTTAACATTTTATGTTTTACGAAGTTAAAATAGGCAGAATGTAAAATTAGATCACTTCAAAAAATAAATCGTAGAAATTCTGAAAGACAAGCCATAGAGCTACAAAAAATTGCTTCTGTTGGCAAAAGGTTTGCCCTATCTCCTGGTTATTAGGGCTCCTCCGAAAGTCTCATACAAAAATTTTGAAAATTAGCGAAAGTTGGACAAGGTAAAAACGAGTGGTTGTAATTTCCAGCAAGTATCTCGTCACTCTCGCAACGAAACACAATGGTAGTTTGGCAGCTGGAAAGAGAGAGAAATTCTGCATCGGATACATTTTGAAGTGTTAGCTTACCTTCATTCTAACGTGTTTGCCGATGGATCGAAAATGACAAAACTTTTGCACCGACCTAATATATTAAACTATCTGCTTCTGTGATTACTAAGACGATAGTAGAAATGTTGAACCCATGGTTTTTACCATGCCAAGGTTGGCAGTTTTTCGGACTTATTATTTTGAGCTTCTGAAAGAGCTTTTATAACATTTGGATAGACCAAACAAAGTGGCACTCTTCAAATTTATTGGCTTCTTCAGCTAGCTTCTGTGAATTACCAAAATCATTTTTCTAATGTTAATAAATTTTATATTTGGTCCCGAACCTCACAAAACATACCGACAAGCGAGTCAAGGTATTGTTCGATGCAGCTCTTTTCAGCTCTCTCTTTTCTCCTCTTTCTGATCGGCGTTTTTTTCTTGATTTATTGAACCTGCGGACATGAACTCAAGTTATTTTTGGACGCACTTATGGCTGTAACCAAAATCTCAAATTTTGATATCTCGAAGCAGCGGCTCTATATTTCAAACATTCAAATTTTGATTTTTTTAAGTCACCAGGACCACCAGGACAAGCTGGACAGCCCGGAGGATTTTATGCGTTCGTGTACCACGGGACTGTGCAAATATGATGACTTAAAAAATCATTTTGAAAAATACTGGAAAGAGTTGGAGATGCTCAATTTTTTCATATTGCACTTGTTTAATCTATCCACCTGTTACCACAGCTCAAGCAAAAGTTGAGACCGAAAACTTCACAAAATGGCCAAATTGGGTGTTTGAAAAATCATGGGTTTGAAATTTCAGCGATTATTCTGGTGGTCACGTAAACAGATGCTATACATGACTGTTGAGAAAAGAAACGAAAATTGTGTCGAAGGGTCTTCAATTTTTGCCTACGCTCCACGTGTTTTTATGAGAACGACCAATAATTCGAATGAGATTGCTCTTTCTGAAGGCATAAGTTTGCAGCTGCTGTGATGATTACAAAAGTGAACATGATAATTTCAGCTTTGTTTCTATTTCATAAAAATATATAGACTTTTGTCTACATGTTTCCACAAATCATGCAGAAAAATTCATTGTAGCAAATACTCTAAGACGAAAGTCAAGACTGCCTCGCTTAACTCGCATAGTTCCAGCAGTAGATATAAATTCAGGTGAAACAGAACTTTTATTTTGGGAGGATGTGAATAATGGCTCGATTCAGTCTTTTAACTAAAATTGGGTGATTGATTACTTATTCATTTCTGCTACACGGAATTTTCTCACATGCCATATTAAAATCCCAAAGTTCTATCCTCAACCTTTATCTCATCTGATTCGTGGTGAAGGTCAGAAAACCTTATGCATTATCGACAATCTGTTTTGGTATGACTGGTGGTATTTTTGGCAATGAGCTCCGCTTTACCTTCTGTTCAGTGAGCAATTTTTCTTGCAAAATTCCGTCCTGAACTGGTCGATTTTTCTAATCTCTTTAACTATCTACTTCTGATGTTTACATTTTTGGAAAATCCCTCATGTATCTTTCAGTGCGGGTCGTGAACATGTCTTCATGACGTACTTGTCGCAAGTGATTATGTTTTGTTAATAGGTCCCTGAGGAACGTTGAGGAACTTGTGGTCTCGTTATATCTGAGTTTGATGAGAAGAGTCGCAATCTCTGCAGATTATGTACTAATTTTGATCACATCGTCATTTAAACTAGCCCTGAGTAAAAAAGGGCCGATGAGTGAAAAACTATCCGCGAACAAAATGGTGCAAGTTTGCTTTTGCAGATGTTGCAGTATCAAAACACATGGGCACAAGTTTTGGCAGAACATCAATATTTTAGCATACAAGCGTCTCGTATGGAAGCTTTCGTTAATGTGCAGGTACTATCTTATGAAAATCTGTTTGACCGAATTTGTCAAGTGTATGAAGTCGGTTATAGGCATCATTTTTGGAGAATGATTCGGTGCAGTTAGATGCAAAAGTCCCGGTTCGGGTCTGCTTAACGTCGGTTGCCAGCCATCCCATAAGGTGATCAAAAACTCCTATCGAAAGCAAATATGTGTAAAAAATGGGACTTGCAGTTTGTCTGCGGTTGTGGTCATCTGCGATACGGAACGAAGACGTCGAGTTCTCGCGCCGACCACAGAGAATCCACCCCTTCTCCAAGCGTCTCGAAGCGGAATAGTGCTTCAGCCAAAGAGTGTTACATCCTTAATTGTAGTGCTGGACCTGTCTAAAGCTCAGCTAGAAAAGTCGCAGACTTTAGTGGTACTTTTGGCTTTAGGCTGCTTCCATAAGTGCCCGTGCCAGCACCATGTCAGCGTCGTTCCAGCGCCATGCCAGCCGATCGACGTCCGGCACGGCGCTAGCACGGCGTTGGCATGGCGGAACGGTCCTGGTACACATCCTGGATGCAGCCTTGAGAAGATGATTTTGGTTTACAGACTCTCATATTCAGATTAGCCGAATTCTGCTAGAATTAGGTGACAGGCATTCGAAAATGTTTGGACAGCTTGAATTCAACCTTGATCATCCATACGTTGTGCCATCGCTGAGGAATATACGCGAAATTGGAAGCAGCGCAATTAGGTATGGAATTAGGGAATGTCGTTTTGCGCAGTTATCTACATCTGTGTTTCAAGGACCGCTGCTTCTGATGGAGGATTAGTTCCTGATGGCTCGACGACGCAGGTTACCTGCTTGGTTGCTGAAATTGCATCGGCGACATTGAAGCTTAAAAATACCTGTGGTCATAGAATAGAAGCTGTGAGGTATAAACATCGGATGTGACTTATCGTTGCAACGTTCTTTCGTATTTGCTTTTTAGTCGAAGAATTCTGTTTTTTCAGTGTATTACTGGTTGACTTATAGTATATATTGTATGTTACATCGCAGGCTTGACTTCAAACGTAACGAACAAATATCTACGGAAGCAATTGCTGTGCTGTTCGTGGATGACAGCGACGAACTTCGCTCAGAACTGACTGTGATTGGTCCTGACAGGGTTGATTCGGGAGAAGTGGTAAGTTTAGTTCAGTAGAATCTTTGTCCTTTTCGCTGAGAATAATTAATCGTTGATTAGCATTGGTATTTCAACCTTTACAAGCCTCATTACTACACATAGAAAGTACATTTGAATTTGCAGCGCAGAAGGACAGCGCTAATAGTAGTTTCCAGACAAATTCTACTTTTTTAGGTCAGCATTCCAATCAGGTTTTCTGCTCAGTTGGTGGGAAACATCGAGCTAGAATTAGAGGTATATTATGTGTTTTTATGCTAAGAAAATACCGTAACCCTACAGACAAGCTATCAACACGAAGGTGAGACAAGACGAAGGACTGGCAGAGTTCGTTTGTCCATAACTGCCAGAGAACCACTGATTGTGAAAAGTGGAGTTCTAAGCATGAATGTGAGATGCTTCAATGTTTTGCCTCATCCCCTCCGTCATGGTATTTTTTCAGGGACTACCGTTAGCCTCAATTTTGAATCACAATGAACATATAATCAAAGCAAGCATCACAGCCAATGCCGATATCGTTATCACCCACGTCGAGTGGCTTTTGGTAGGTCCTTAGATTTTGAGTTGAGCGGACTGAAAGGGCTCGAAGATCTAATGTTTTTTACTTGTCAGAAACAGGGTGCGATTATCTGAAATATAGATTTTTTGTGTCTTCCCCTTTAAGCGCGAGCACGCAGTTGTTTTAAGTTCGTCAAAGTTATTTTATTGTCTACGCCTTCGCCTCGTCATGGTGGGGCACTCAGAGCTTTGCAAGGCAACTTATTTTATGCTCTGATATTGCCCTTGCGCCTCTCAGGGTTGTGTTATATAGGATTGCACAAACGATATTAGGTGTATCTTATATATAAAGCTGAATGTCTGTTTGTATGTCTGTATGTATGTCTGTCTGTACGTATGTTCCGAATAGAAAATTCCATTTCTCAACCGATCCGGACCAAACTTGGCACACATACACTTCGGGCCCCGGCGGGTGTCATGGGCTACTGTGGACTGTGACACCCGCCGGGGCCCGAAGTGTATGTGTGCCAAGTTTGGTCCGGATCGGTTAAGAAATGGAATTTTCTATTCGGAACATACGGCGGAGCCGGGTAAGCCAGCTAGTTCAGTATACACCCTTCGATTCAGTAAGATTAGCGGCTGGAAGGTGAGCGCTCGCGCCCGAACGCGGTCTGCGTCTCTCTCGCGGTGCTCTCTGATTATTCTCTGCTTTAACCAGGTCACGAAGCCCCGCCTTCCAGCTGCCAATCCGGTTGGGGTGCAACAAAAATGATAATTGTAATTTCAAAGTGAACAGATATACAAGGGGGAGTTCAAGGTATTTTGGTATTTACTGCATTAGCACTTGCACTTCAGAAGTTCTTAGAGAATCTATGGAAATGTTCCATCTGTAAAACATCCAGTAGGAATGGCTCGAGGAGTCGTAGTTTTTGAACGCTATTCCAAACATCATACGATAGGCATTTCATCATGCGTAAATATGGGTTCGCTGTATCAGTACATCTTTTCCTCGTAAATAGGTAAATACATGGAGTTAGGCGAATGAGCTAGGTTAGGCTGGAATAGATTTGAATGAAGTAATTGTTTCCTGTAAAATCTGATTTATGCTTCCTTTATAGAGTGAAATAGAGTTTCCTCCAAAGTTTCTTTGGGAACTACTGGTGCGGGACAGCAAGGAAGATCTAACCACAGCTCATAATTTTATATCTGAAGTGGTGTAAGCTCAGTATAATTGTGAAATACAAGTGCACTAGGACTCGCTAATTTATTAGTAACTCAAAATGTGACATGAAAACTGATATTTATCCGCGTGACGTAAATCTGCTCAGCATACTTTTCCGGCTAGCTGATTGTGAAGTTTTGGGGTATATGTCAAGATGAACGATAGCTGGTACCAGTGGCGCGCGGGGTCATGAACTGGCAATAACGTGTTCGCTCGAAGCTCCGCCCTACTGCGGCGGACGAGTTTCTCGGACGATACAGTCAAGTAGAAATAACTTTTGATAATGAGATATAAGCTTGTTGCAAGATGGGGTGAAGCTTGACTATTTACAGACTTGTTCTGATTTTTTGTTTCTTTTTTTTTGGCAATCAATGAACAACTGATGTGTAGGTCGTGAAATTCGAGAATATGCTGATTTACCTATTAATGACCGAGGGACTCCTGGATATCCAACTTTGAAGTGTGAAATCAATCTAGAACACCTCAGGCATGACTGTTTGAGTGACCTCACATCTTACGACAGTTCACACGCAATTTCGATTGAGTTACAGATCGATTTATATTGAGGATAGCAGTTTTTGGAAGCAAAATAAAAGAAATTTGGTATTTATAGCAGATTCGAAAATTTATAAGTGCAGTATGATTTTCCTGAAATCTGAGAAAATTTATGTGATATGACCGCGTAATGGCAAAACGAGTTATTGCTTTAAAAAAATTCGCCTATAATGTTTGTTTTAAATTCTCGTCGCAATGAAATCTGTTTTTAGCTATGATTAGGGTTTCGATAAACTTACTGTTCCGATAAAAGGGGTAATGGTGTTGGTCATTTCACCAATAATAATAGTATTTCTCGATAAGCTGACTTCTTTTTAAACTAAGCTTGAGAGTGCACAACAAAGAATATTCAATATGGAGATGTGAATAGAGAAAAACACTTTTCCAAGCACTTTCGGAACAATGTCCTCATATCTGCAGTGAAAAATCATTTTGGACTAGCCTACTAGGAACAAATAATTGAAATATTAGAAAGAGCTTGCGAACTAATTTTAATTTTATAATGAAAAATGATCTGAAAACTAATTTTCAATTTAACTGAAATTTTGAAATCTACTGTTAATCAAATTGCAACCAACTAAAGAAGCATGAACGAAGTATTAGAGAGTTTTCCAATAGCTGCAACGCATTCCTAGGCTAATTAACAAGGGGGCGGAGCGATCAGCGCACCGCGTACGGTACCCAGCCGGCGGCTGGCACATGCTATCGTTCATCTTGACCGCCACCCGAAGTTTTGCAGCAAGAAGTGCATTTAGTTCGAATTAAAAAATTATGGCTAAAAGCTCATTGATGCACAAATAATTGCCGTCAGAGTGGTTTTTTGTCCGAGGTTACGGTCCTTTGACAGTTTTGCTTTGAATAACATCCTCTGTCAAATCTTCTCAAATTCATAACTTCGTGGTCACTTACAAATTCCTTTTTCAATTTTTCTATTTTTGGAAGTACTTTCGGGTGAGTTTCAGACAGTGCAAAATTTTGTCGATACGCGCGAGAGGTGGATCAAGCAAAGCACAGTTTTTCTTGCATCGCATTTTCACCTTTGCTGAACTGGGAACAGCGGAACTTGCGGCTTCTGTTTTAGTAGGTAACAAAAATTGTGAAAAACTCCTAAGACTCATTTAGATAATCTTTATCATTACCACAATCACAATACAAGAAATCTCACATGGTTACGATCCGAATCACCATTGCGTATGAGCTTTCCATTGCGACTGACTTGCGCTGACCGCCGCCGTGACCACGCCTCTTTCGAGACGCGTTCGCGACACTGGGCCTCCGGTTCGCCTTTACGAACGAGCTTCCACTTGACCGAAAGTGGGTGGTGACCTCACAATCATCAGTGGCTGCTCTGGCATTCTGCTGCCAAAATATGTTTACGAGGACATAGATCACGGTAGACTTGCTTTACGAGGATTTTCGGCAACTCTCCGGCGCGCGAGAGAAAGAAAACTGAAAAACTAAACTCCTAAGACTCATTTAGATAAACTTTATCATTACCACAATCACAATACAAGAAATCTCACATGGTTACGAACCGAGTCACCATTGCATATGAGCTTTCCATTGCGACTGACTTGCGCTGGCCGCCGCCGTGACCATGCCGCTTTCGAGACGCGTTCGCGACAAAAATGATAACAAGAAGAATTTGCGCGAACTTAGGGTATGCTAAGACCTTTAAGAAATCACTCATGATATGTTTTATTAGGCTGACGTACGTTGAAGTAGCCTTAGGCGTAGTTGTCGCTTTGGTAGGAATATCTGCAAGTGTGGATAATAGACTAGCCTGACAGATTTATTAAGTCAGACGACTTGTCCGCTGGGACAGTGGTAGAATGCTAACATGAATAGGCGTTCCAAAGTTACTCGACAACATCTGGGCAATAAATATATCTATATCACAGCAGGTCATGCTTATGCATGACTTTAACGGTACTCTGGCAACACACAATGAGGCTACAAAGAGAGGTGCCGATCATATCGGCACATGTTTCGTTTTCAAAACGAAAATATGTATGAGCGAGTTGAAAATTGGACATTTGTGATCACTGGATTGCACAGAAGAGCACTAGTTGAACAGGGTGTTCCTGAACAAGACTTTTCGTGGGACGGATAGGACTCCTGCACTAAGACCGGAGCAGAGGCAAATGGTCTTACATAACGTGCGCAACTCACCTGCACCTTTTGAACGATTCCATAGTGCAGAGAAGGTGCAATAGACGAGTCCAACGAGATTTCTGCATTACAAAACATGGTCCCACACGGCAAACTTCGTCAAAACCATCCTGCAAGTCAAAATTGTCCTGTTCTGAAGAGTACTTCACACATTAATGTACCTCCTAGTCAGTAGAGACTAGGAGGCACATTAAAATCTGAAGTACTCCTCAGAACTCGCACTAGCAGTTCATAATCTTTCCATGTTCGGCTGTCTTTTAATCTTGTCATGTTAGGTAGTCGTATGTTATAGTATTTAGCGAAAAGACAACATTGTTATGAGCTTTTATTGGCCGACGTTGCGGCGATTTCGCCTTCTTCAGAGCCTGGAAAATCAAAGTCAGCAATCTTTTTACTCAGCTGTCAACAGAAGGCTCAGATTTGCATTCGATCGGTTAGATCGTGCTCGGAATTACGGTAGTCAAGCCTACCTTGGATGACCAGTATGAGAGCTATAGCGAACACGTTAGACAAGACCATCCCTCAGCTCTTTTATACGTGCTCACGATCAAATCCACATAATTGATCGGCTGATAACTCTTGCGTGACGGTGATACACTCTTCTTTAGCATTCATTTTTGGATTTTTTGTAAAGATCCAAAACGCCTCTAATGTTTTGCGTGCAAGGGTCTCAGGCTCAAAGGATAAGATCTTCACTCCAACTTGAAATACCGTACCGTCATGGCGTGTAATGCTGTGCGAACCTAGAGGTGTGGTTTTCCTCAAGTTTTGCAGTCCGTTTAGATGTTCCTTTATGCGGTGGCAAAGAGGCCGTCCAGTCTCACCAATATAAGTATCTCCACATGATAAGCACGTTATGAGATATACTACGCCGGAAATTATACAGTCACCATCTTTGCTGTAAGGACAAACCACACAGTTTGGGGTCTGGCAATTGCGATCGTAAGCGCGATTTCGTACTAGGCGTTTCTTAAGGTTGGCGGGCGAATCAACAACTCTGGCAAGATTTTCTAGGCTAGTTTGCTTTAGGCAGCGACGAACTGCACGGCTGAATTCATCAGAGATGAATGGTACACAAAACGCTATCTTACTATTGT